CATGTTTTGGGGGGTGGGGGAAACCAGAGTACCCGGAGAAAACCCACGCAAGCACGAGAAGAACATGCAAACTTCGCACAGAAAGACCCCAGGTCTAACTCTGGTGTAAAGCAGAAGATTCATTATTAACATTAATAAACTGAAATCTATCAGTTAAATAAAACTCAAACCATTTTAGAGCTGATCCTGTATCCTGGATCCAATATCAAGTTCAAGTCTATGTAATAAAATATTGTGATCAATTGTATCAAATGCAGCACTGAGATCTAACAGGACAAGAATGGACACAAGTCCACTGTCTGAGGCCCTGAGAATATCATTAGTAACTTTCACCAGTGCTGTTTCTGTGCTATGATGAGCTCTAAACCCTGACTAAAACTCCTCATATAGATTATTTCTATCCAAATGTTCACATAGTTGATTTGCAACTATTTTCTCAAGAATTTTATAGATGAATGGGAGATTAGATATAGGTCTATAGTTGGCCAGAACTCTTGAGTCAGCATCAGGTTTCTTAAGTAAAGGTTTAATTACAGCAATCTTAAAGCTCTGTGGCACATAACCATCCATTAGAGATAAATTAAGTACATCTAAAATATGGATATTAATTAAGGGAAATGCTTTTTTAAACACTCTGGTTGGGATGGGATCTAGCAGACATGTTGATGGTTTGGATGAAGCTATTATTTTAGATAATTCAGAGCTCAACAGGACAAAAACTCTCCAGACATAAATCAGGTTCTAGTGACACTAAAGCTGCATCTGACAGAGAATTAGAGACAGTAACAGGAAGTTTGGCATGAATTTTATTTCTTATTAAAATTATTTTATCTATAAAGAATCTCATGAAGTCATCACTACTTAGAGTTATAGGGAGATAGGACTTTTCATTAGTCCAGCTACAGTAACAGAAACCTGGGATTGTTTTTATTCTCTTCTATTAAAGATGAATAATAAACAGTTCTAGCTTTATGAAGGGCTTTCTTTTATGTTAGCAGGCTGTCTCTCCAGGTTAAATAAAATTCTTCTATGTTAGTGGAGCGCCATTTTCTCTCCAGTTTTCTAGA